GTAATACTTGTACTATTAATAATAATATACATACATAATCTATAAGATTTTTAAAAAATCATACAAAACCAATAAGCAAAACAAATATTTAAAATTCCCCAAATTGTCCTATAACGCTATTTTAGAAAAAATTTACAATATATCAGAAAATGATATTGAATCGGGGACGATTTATCTTAGACAGACAAAGACACTCTACGACGAATGTAAACAAATTGTGTCTTCCCACAGTATTACTGTTTGGTCAGCAGAATACTTTAATTAATAAGAAATTAATACTTTATTTGTTTTAGTAAGTAAACATAATTCAATATTCCATTATTTGTTTTGATATTTATCATTATAATGAGAATAATTAGAAACTCAATTATCTGGCATTTCATCACTTAATGTAATGCCAAAGCATCTTTAGTAATAAGCCGTTACATATAGAATTGTAAGAATATAAATATATGTGAATTGACTAATAAAKATCAGAAGGTAATCAGCGAGCACCGGAGTACCGACTCAAACCAACACGTTGTGTTTTATTTCTACTGCGCGTAGCGGAACGGAAAAACATTTTTTTTTCAATATTTCCCACGCAGGGAAGTTAATTTACATATGTGAATTTGTAAATTTTATGAGTACCGTTTTATATATCTGTTTACATGTACACATAATTATATGCATATAACTTTTAAGATTTAATCAAAACGGGATTTTATAAAAAAAATTTTATCATTGCGGTTATGGTTCTTAAAAATCTGTTTATATGTACGCATAATTGCATCCATATGCGAATATGATCGTCAGCTTGGTCTTTAAAATTTTATCAAAACCTCTAATGCCCAATATATACATACACATGTATATTTACCTAGGTAATCATGGAAATATGACTTTATTATAAATTCCAAAATTTTTAGTGGAATTTATCATTAAATAATTCAAATTTCCCATACATACATAAATACGAATGAGCTTTGTTATCAAATATGTATATAGAGAATATATACAGAGAACGTATATTTATAGAGAAGGTCCAACAACTAACAAAATGCGATGAGCCTGTTTCACCACATCTAGTTAAGAAGGAGAAATCTTAACATACTTATTTGCGTTCCCATGTAGATATGTATGTCGCTCGCAAAAACTACGAATATTGTTCTGCAAAAACAACAAACGTCTCAAATAGCATCAGCAGCGTYACAAGTCAATATGGCAGCCAAATAGCCGATGCCCAAATTTGTAGAAAAGTACACAACAATAATATTTTCATTCATGAACGCAAGCGACTTTCGACAAAAAAACTTGCTTCATTCATAAAAACAAACACCATTACATTTCCCCGAGCATGCCTTGCCTACAAGCGTCTTTTCGCGACGATTTCAAAATCTAAATGTGTACAGTGAATCCCGTTTAAGTAGTACTTCACTTAAATGAAAATCTTAACTGCCCATATCTTGCTGCATCTCACGGTTTGTTTTTTGAAATACATATAAATTATTGTTTTAAGTACCACTCGCTTAAGCATTCGCACTCACTTAAGGGCCATATTATATTTTTATTTTCACAAACCACGAACAACTGTACCTTTGATTGTG